GGGTGCCTGGGAGGCTTAGTCAGTTAAGCATCACACACCTCTTGGTTTTAGCTCAGGTCACGATCTCATGGGTTGTGAGTTCAAGCCCTATGTTTGAGTCCTGCGTCAGGCTCTGCACTGACAATGTGGAGCCTGCTTAATATTCTGTCTCTGTCTCTCTGCCCCTCCTCCACTCATGCTGTCTCTGTCTCTCTCAAAATAAATAAATAAACTTAGGGAAAAAACGCAAGAGAAAAACTGACAAAAACTGTTAGAATCAACTTTTCAGAACTCTGGTAATTAACCAAAGGTTTGCAACAATTTGGGGAATACTTATTCATGCAAAATAGCTGAAATTCAGTAAGAAGAGTGAGCTTGTGGCATTTCAGTATACTCTAGTCTCATTCCTCATTGTTCAGATCAGCTGAGCCTGTGTTCAGTCTCAGTGCTTGAGAGAACAGACCTCGTTCTCAAAGAATTGTAATTATTTGTTTTGCCTTGGTTGGAGGCTACCTGGAAGACTGACTCAAAACTCTTGTCTTTATTTTCCTGACTCACAACTGGCTAAGTATTAAAGCTACTGAGGGCAGGAAGAGCAGCATTTATCAAAAACATTTACAAGCAAATGATTTTATTACTGCTGCCTGAGGCAATGGAAAACAGGTGAGGCAAACAATACACACAAAAAGCCTTGATTTAGGTGTCCTTGGGGCTTTGAAAACGCCAACGTGTCCTTGGGCATATAGAAAGCCATGCACTTGGGCAGGACTGTGTGTGTGCCTAGAGAAGACCTGAGAGGGCCCTGAGCTCACACCTCTGGCTCATCTTGGAGGTCTGTGGAACTAGGAAGTGAAGGCTAAGACAGAGTTGTGAACTGAGTGAGTGTTTAAGGTATACCCCCAAACCCACAGAGTACCTCTGCAATGAATGGGAGATTTTTGGGTTCTATGGGTTTAAAGAAAACTGTCCAAGCTAACAGAACAGAGATCAGTGACTATACACAGCAAAGGATATAGACTGTACCTTTACAAAATTGGTTTTGAAGAGTCTCTAAGCAAACAATTACCATAATAAGCATCAGTGATGAGAAACTCTGGGAGAGAGAGAATCTGATCTGCAGAATTGTTACAGTATAATATTCAGTATGTTCAGTGTTCAACAAAAAATTATGAGGCATGCAAATAAACAAGGGGAAAATCATCAATAGAAACTGCTCAGAAGAAGCCTGGATATTGCACTTGTAGACAAAAACTTTACATCAGCTATTTTAAATAGTTTCTTAAGGAATTAAACCATGTCTAATGAACTAAAGGGAAGTATGAGGCAGTGTAATGTCACCAAGATGGCAGACTAGGAGATTCTAACCCTCACTCCCACACAAAAATAATGATAAAGTCAACTATCACAGACAAGGATAATCCTGGGGAAATGCTGGGCTACAGTTAGGGGGCTGCAGTGAACCAGAGGAGTGCAGACACTGGAGATGACTGCATAAATGGGATAAAAAGCATTCTGCCTGCATTGTCCCATCCTTCAGGTCAGCAGGGTGTTACAAGGAATTCCCTTGGCCTTGAATTCCCCTCATTGGGAAAGAGGGAGAGTGAGGGACCTCAGCAACTCTAGTTACTGCTACGGAGGACTCCTGTGTTCTTTGCTGATGCAGATCCCAGCAGCTAGAGCTTCCTCATACCAGAAGTGCTACATCCCCTGGAAGTGGAGCTGCCAAGTACTTCCCCTTCCATCCATGAGTTAGAGCTGCCCCTCTCACTTCCTAACTCCAGTGCCCCCCATGATGGCAAACCTGAGCATAGCTTCCAGCACACACTGGTACCACTGAACACCCATCCATATGTCCAAAGGATTATGAGTCCACCATAGCTGCTCAAGTGCATCCATGCAACTAGGTGCTTGCCATAGCTGCACACATGCAACTGTGGGACCAGGTGCCCTCATTTGCCCCAGAACTGGCATGCCCCCACATCTGGTCTTGGAGCTGCTGTACACCTCACCCGACTGATGACCTCACATCTCCTCATAAAGGACATCATTCCCTAGCTAGGCCATGAAGTTTGGAAGGGGTGACTGCTTCTTCAGATGCAAAGACAGTCATGCAACAGTGAACATGAAACCACCAGAAAACACAATAACCCTTTAGTCACTGGCTCCAAATAAATGGAGATCTATGAATTGCCAAAGAATTAAAAATAATTGTTTTTAAGAAACTGATGAGCTACAAGAGAATATAGATAGTTCAACAAAATCAGGGTAGCAGTACATAAACAAAACAAGAAGTTCAACAGAAATAGCAATCACTAAAAGGAAGAGTCAAATTCCGGACCTAAAGAATATAATGTGTGAAATAATATAATAGAGGTCTTTAACATCAGACTCAATTAAGCAGAAGAAAAAATAAGTGAACTCAAAGACATATTTGAAATTACCCAGAGAAGAGAGAATAAAGAATGAGGAAGCCAAGGGATTCATGGGACACCATCATACTAAAATAAAATGTATGTGCGTTATGGGGGTCCCAGAAGGAGAAGGAAGAGAGGGACAGAAAGCTTATTTAAAGAAATAACAGCTGAAAATTTCCCAAATCATGCGAGGGAAATTGATAATCCAGATTCATGAAGCTCAGAAGTGTCCCATCAGGGTCAACCCAAAGAAAACTACACTGAGACATATTATAATAAAATAATCAAAAGTCAGGGGCATTGTATACCTTAAACTCATACAATGTTATATGTCAATTATATTTCAATTAAAAAGTAAAAGCAAAAAAGATTAAAGGGTGAAGAGAACTTTGAAAGCATCAGAAGAAAAGTGGTTCATCACTTACAAGGCACCCCCATAAGAATATCAGTGGATTTCTCAGCAGAAACTTACCATGCCAGGAAAGGGTGGAATGATATATTCAAAATTCTGAAAGAAAAAACTGCCAACCAGGAATTCAGTGTCAGGCAAAACTAACCTTTTAAAATGAAAGAGAGATTAAGTTTTTCCCAGACAAAAACTGAGAGAGTTCATCACCATTAGACCTACCTTACAAGAAATGCTTAAGGGAGTTCTTTCAATTGAAATGAAAACAAACTAGACAGCCATATGAAAGTATAAATCTCATGGGTAAAGGTAAATATATAGTCAAGTACAGCATCAATGTAATATTGTAATGGTGGTATATAAATTACTTTTAATCATAATATAAAAGTTAAAAGATGAAAACATTAAGAACAAGTAGAATAATGTCTAGTCACAAAAGCTTGTTAATTGATACACATTATTAAAAGATGCAAACTCTAGGGCACCTGGGTGGCTCAGTTGGTTAAGCGTCCAACTTCATCTCAGGTTATGATCTTATGGTTCATGAGTTCAACCCCTGCATTGGGCTGTCTGTTGTCAGCACAGAGTCTGCTTTGGATCCTCTGTCCCCCTCTCTCTCTCCCCCTCCCTCCCACCCCCCCACCTCTCAAAATGAAATAAACATTTAAAAATATTTTTTTAAAGATGCAAACTCTGACTATAAAAAAAAAAAAGTATGTGTGAAGGGGAGTGTAGAGTTTTTGTATATGACTGAACTTAAGTTGTTGTCAACCTAAAACAGAAAATAATAGCTACAAGGTAATTTTATGGAATTCTTGTAACCACAAGAAAAAACAAAAACCTATCATAGATACTTAGAAGATAGAAAAAAAACTCAAAGAAAACCATTACATAAAACCATCAAATAACAAAAGAAGACAGGAAGAGATGAAGAGGGGAACAAAACAATAGCACAACAGCAAAAAATAGCAATAAGTTCTCACCTATCAAGAATTATAAATGGAGGCACCTGAGTGGCTCTGTCAGTTGGCCTGAAAGGGAGTCTTAATAAGAGTAACAGCTTCCTTTTCTTTAGAAACCATAGATTCCTGGGTGCCTGGGTGGCTCAGTTGGTTAAGCATCCAGCTTTGGCTCAGGTCATGATCTCACATGATCTCAGGTAAGTTCGAGTCCTGCATCAGGCTCTATACTGACAGCTCAGAGCCTGGGGCATGCTTCACATTCTGTGTCTCCCTCTCTCTCTATTCCTACCCCACTTGCACTCTCTCTCTTAAAAACAAATAAACATAAAAAAAAATATTTTTTAGAAAAGTTTAAGTATGAGAACAGTGTCTTCACCAAATAGAGGATAAGAATAAAGAGATGGAACTATAATAAACCAGATGGGAATTCTGGAGTTGACAATAAATAAGATGAAAAATTCGCTCATTAGGCCCAAGAGATTTGAACTAGAAGAAGAAAGAAACTAGCAAACTTATAGATACATTAATTGCTACTATCCAATCAGAGAAACAGAAAAAAAAAAAAGTATGTCTGTATACACACACACACACACACACACACACACAGAACCTGTGGATACCATCAAATGTATTAACATACACATAATGGGAATCCTACAAAGAGAAGAGATACCAAATGAGCAGAAAAAAAATAAAAACATGTAACTACTCATCCAGGAAGTTCATCGAACTCCCAAGTAGGATAAAACCAAAGAGATCCACACATAGACACATCATCATCAAACTTCAGAAGACAAAGAGAATCTTTAAAGCAGCAAGAGAA